TGATGTTGATTTCTGTCTTTGAAACTAAGACTGTTGAGCTGCTTTATCTTGTAGTGTGTAGTATGTATTTTGGGGTCAAAATACTTGTGTGTTTTCTTCTTAAACTATTTACTGTGTCAGGACTGGCCATCAGTGTTTACAAATGAGTCTTGGTACAAAAAAAGGTTGAGAACCACTGCTCTGACTCTGCAGTTAGTGGAAGCCAAGCCACTGTAACTTAGTCCTCTTTTATTAATGGTGGGTTACAAGTTTTAGGTTTCCACTTGTAGTATGCATAAGGGCAGTTACTGCAGAGCAGCTGGCAACAGTGAAGCCCTACCTTATTTCACTTCACCTTAATTTGTTCACATGCCACAAAGGGGCACTGATTACTGACCACAGTCCTTCTGCACCACCCTGAACCAAATACTGAATAATAATGATTATTGAAAATGCAGCAGTGATTTTGTGCAGGTGTCTGATGAAATTCAAAGAGAATGCTTGCAAAGGGATAAAAAAAGCTTTGATTCTGCAGTGTCTTGTACTTTAGGTCTTCATTTACTACTTACTGCATGCAGCCACATGACCATGCGCGTAAAATACCAAGTCAGCCTGATGGCATTTTAGTCCCTGCTAATGGCAAGACAAGACTCAAGACAATGGCATACTGAACTTTTATGTACAGTATTTTGTACTCCATGAGATTTTAAAGGTTGATTATTGTGGGGACTGGTATTATTTTAAGAAAAAAAATAAACTTAACATTTTATTCTCAACCCCTTATTGTGGATCATCAGGGCTTTAATTTGGTTTGGTTTTGGTGCTTAGGATTCCATTCTGTTCTTTTCCTGAGGTATTGCAGGGGGAAAATATTCCTCTTGTTTCCTCAGGCCAAGCTTATTCAGAAATGAGAAGCACTCAGCTGCCCCTCACTCAAAGCTGTGGGATAATATGATTAGCAACCACTGGAGGGAGTATGGTTTTAAATCTCAACTACAAGCCTGTCTTGCTTATGTGAATAGCAGTAGGGTAATGTTGCCCCTCTCTTGGTTTTGAACACTGCCCAGTATACTGTCACAAGCCTTGTTAATAAACAGATAAAAGTCTGATGGTGTTTTTAAGTACCTTGTTCACATTTTCTCAAGGTGCCAGCTGTCAAAATAGTGCCAGCTATTTGTATAGTGCAGGTTTCCAAAGTTTATGCTGTTGAAGGAGACAGCAAATCGGCTGTCCAGTCAGAATTAGTAATTATCCCCCTGTCAGACAAATACCAAACTGATTCCCAGCCATGTCCTTTTTATTATACCATGACCTGTAAATGGGCCACCTACGGTTATATGGGCCAGAAACCCTATTTGCATGCCTCTTTCAGCTGGCTGAACTCTCCTCTTTCTTTCCCTCCTTTGTTCATTCTCCGGGGTCTCTCTTCTCCTTCTCACGTGGGCATTTCCCATACTTCTGGGCTTTGCTCGTTGCTGCATAGGGCTGGGCGGGAATTTTTGCCCCTCCTGCTATTGTGGGGGGAGCGTTAAGCCTTCCTCAGAGGCATTGGGTGTCGGCTGCAGACAAGGCAGGGGATTTTGACTGGCATGTCCCAATGCTCCTGCTGAGACTTAAACCCAGAGGTTCCTGGCTAGAGGGTCCTGCCCCTCTGCTCAGGGTCAGACTGACTGCCATATTTGGGGCCAGGAGTGAATTTTGCTCCATGGTCAGATTGGTATGGATTGGAATTTTTATTTTTGCTTTTTTCCGTAGTAGGGGGCATAACCCTCTTCCTACAGGCTCTTGAGCAGATTTTTAACAACCTTTGTAGCAGCAGGACATTGTCTGCTGTGGTCCCCCTACTTTCCCTGTGTGTTATGTCTCGTGTTGTGTCAGAGTTCACTGTGTACTTTTGCTAGGAGGTTAGACTACGGGTGGGCAAAGTTCAGGTCATGGGCCAGATCAAGCCCGTGGCAGACTATTTCCCCACAGCCCCTGTGGCAGCAGGTCCTTCTGGCTGTTGCCACCAGACACAGCCCAGCTGTCCGGGCATCCTGCACCCACCACTGGGGTAGGACCTGTGCAGGCAGGACACCCAACCAGGCAGCTGGGATGGGGTTGCAGCTGGGAGCGAGATGGGCGAGCAGGGCCAGGAGCGCATCATGATTCTGCCCCAGCCTGGCCTGCCATCAACATTGCAAGATCCCAACCCCAGACCCAGGCCTGGACCAACTCCCCACCCAGCTGTATGCCCTGCCCACATGGCTCCTGGCCAGTCTCCGCGGAGACCCCAGGAACACAGGGTCATGACAGCACAGGGTCACAGCCCCGCGCCCCCAAGATTTCCGTAGACACTGACTGGGAGCCACGTGAGCAGGGGCTGCTGGGAAATGGAGTCTGGCTGCCATCCACATCTGTCATTCTGCCCACCCATGGCTTAGACCATAGTTTCTCAGCCTGTGGTACGTGTACCCCTGGGGGTATGCAAGATGCAGGCAGGTGGTATGCAGGTACCCCAACACTCTCTCTCGCGCCTTCTTTTCCTCTCAAAACTATGGCAAAAAATTTGGTGCAATTTAAAAAATTTAATTCCCCGGTAATAATTTGGTTATCAGCCCTCCTAGCTTTGGCCAACATCACCTCTAGCCCAGGTACATACTTGAGTTGTGCACCCCTGGTGTAAAAGGTGGCAACCCTGCCCACACCAGATCAGACATCTGTCATATTACGGCCTTATATATACAGCCCTTCTTCCAACATATGGCACACATTAGTCTGTAAATATAAAATCTCCTGGAAAATTGAATGTTGGGGTACTTATTAAAATTTTCAGAAGTTAGGGGGTACTTGCTACTTAAAAGGTTGAGAAACACTGGCTTAGACAATGAATTTGTATGGGATGGTTTGGATAGGGAAGAAACTGCCTCAGGCAGGGGGTTGGGCTAGATGACCTGTGGCAGTCCTCTTCAGCCCGACTTCCTTATGATTCTAGGATCCCTTGCTGCCATTTTGTCACCCTTCCTTTTTCTTTCTTCTATCTTTATAACTTTGGGTCTATCTATTCTGCAGTCACAGCAGTGACTGCAGTGTAGGGTAGCAATACCCAAGTTATTTTGCAGTTGTGTTACCAGAAGCAGTGTATCTGCCACATCAAAAAGCTGAGTGCAAGCTAATTTTCTCTGCTTCTTGGGCAGGTTTTGCAGTCCATGATAATGCTGTGCCTAGTCTGCAATGACCAGCACAACTCACATGTCAAACAAGCTTGTGTATGTCAACACCCTGTAGTCACACTCTGTGGCAGTGCCTATGACAGTAGTCTAGATTAGGAGGTGAAAAATGTGCAATTTAGGTATAAACTGCTATGTAGCGTAGAAATATCCATGCTGGTTTCAACTGAGATAGCTAACAGTCTAGCCACAACAGCCAGGAGTGCATTGCAGGCTGGAAAACCTACCTGAAAGCAGGGGATATGAAGCCCATGCTAAGAGCCATGATGCAGTTGGCAAGATCACTACTGCACCAGACCCTTTCTCCACAGACTGACCACTCCACTTGCATATTTTTTAAAACAGTAGGCCACTGCTGCTAATTCAGCACCTCTGCTCAATGCTCTGCCCTGTCTGATGTACATGGGATGAATAAAAATAGGGTTCCCCCAGTGAGAGAGTGAGTAGGCAGATGATGTATCTAAATATAAATGACAGGGGAAACCCTAGAAGTGTGAAATACCCACATTCAGCCTCAAACCCATTTGAATAGAGACTTGGGATGGAGCTTCTGTGTGGTCACAAATGTAGCTTATCTGCTGGAAACACTAGGCCAAGATTTCTAAAAAATGGTTGCCTAAAGTTAGGCTTTTAAGGCTATTTAGATACCTGAGTGACCTTATTTTCAAATGTGCCAAGTGACTTCCAGGTCCGATAAATCTTCCAGGCCCTTTTAAAAATCAAGTCTAAATAAGGACTTAGGCACTCATGTTTTAAAATTTTGACCTGAGTAAGTAAGTATGAGTTAAGACTATTTGTGCACCTGAGACGCTTACCCGGCCAAACAACCAACTCTACTCTTCTCCTGACTCTGCAGGGGCCCCTGTGCCCTTCAAGATAAATTAGCGAAGAATATGGGGCCCCAGAGCTTCCTAACAGGGAAGAATGGAGTAGATGGGAGACTTCCAGGTGGAAACCCCCTATAAATGTCTGAAAATTCATCAACCAAACCCTACAGGGTTCACAAAACCAGAGAATAAAAGGCTTTATTGAGCCTCCTCTTTCAAGACCTTTAGGAAGAAATCAAGAAGGAACAGAAGAAGGCCAGTCCAGATATAAGGAATTTGAGGGCCAAGAAAGGGCCAATATTATGACAAGAGTTGCAACCTTCAAGCTCCAGTCTATGCCCTTCTTTGCTGTGGCCATTGGGAGGGAACCACTACATAGTTAATTTTTGTTTGTCAGTCTTAACCCTATTCATGTTTCTCTCTTTATATGCAGCTGCTTGTGTTATTCATGGAGATGCAACCATCACCTCTCCTGCTACAGCACACACTACAGAGCAGCCTCCAATGGTGACTATCCCTGAGCCATGGCTTCCATTTGTGGCTCAGACTCCAGCCAAAGAAAAAGCCAAAGAGGGAGAGACCGTGGTCCTAAATTGCCAGTTTCACAGTCCAAGGGGTCCTTCCCTGGCCAAGCTGATGGTGAAATGGTACAAAGAGGATGAAAAGGGATCCAGGGACTTGCTGGAGAACAATGTGACCATCTTGGCTAATTACTCCAGGGCTTTCATGAGTGGGGATTTAACCCAAGGGGATGCTTCCCTGACTATCCTCAATGTGACAGCAAGTGATCATGGCATTTATTTCTGCCAGGTGATGCTTTCCAGTGGGAAGGTGTTGACAGGGACTGGCACAAAACTCAGGATCAGGAGAGCACTAGGTAATGCTCTTGTGTTATTCCAGTTCTGTTCTCCTATCTTCAGGGTTGATCTGTGCAGTTGCACATGGTAGGGGCAGGCAACCATTTTGACTTGGAGCTGAAGGGAATTGACAATAGATTTTCAGAGACTTGAACAGCGTAGAATAGGATCATATTTAGATACTTAAAAACAATATGTGGAGTGGAATCTGGTCCTGAAGGCTTGTCTACACCAACTCTCTGCTGAGCCTGTTAATGTCAACAAAAAGCACTCCCCACCCACTCACTCACCCCAAAGCCTGGAAATCAGGCAATGCACCTGCCCTAGATCAGCCCTGAATGTGCACCAATAAGTATGGGCGACTGATGCCTCCCTAGTCTGGGAGGGCACCAAATCGCCAATGGCTGGGGTCCTGCCGGGTTTGTGGCTGGCGCTTCCAGAGGGTGCATGGCCAATCTCAGAGGGTGTACATGCACTCGTGTGCACCCCCTACATGTCACCAGTGCCAATAAGTACACCCAAAACAAAGTAGCTCATTCACTCAGGGCTGCTTTAAGGTGGCTGAACTGCCTCATTTTCAGGATCTGATGCATATTACATGAAATTAAGTGGTCGGAGTTTGCTTCTCAATGGTTTCACCCAGTGCAATGTAAACACATGCTCTTAACACAGATCTGGGCCTCCTAAATGAACTGGATAATATTAGAGATGAAAAGAGCCTATGAGCTTGGCTTGTCTACCCCTTGGTCAAGCTGTGGACCAAACCACTGAGCTGTAGTTTAAGATATTCCCTTACCTTTGCCTACTTGAGTTTTGAATGCCCCTTGCTATGGTGCTTTTCTCACTTACAAAGTAAGAGATCTCACTGTGAACACATTCTTTGCTGAAGACCTGCCTGAGATTTTAACTCATTTCAATCCTATGTTCTTATCACCCCTGGGGCTGCTGGAAGCAATACTTTTTATTTAATTACTTCATGCCCTTCTCACTGGCCTTTGAGACTACTCTTCCCAAAATCTTGCCTTCTTTCTGTCTCACTTTGACATGACATATGGTAAAAATAGTAAGTCAGGCCTGTGGCAAAGGCCTTTAAACTCTGGTGACATACCTGCGGGAGAGTGGCTTCTGTTGCCTGTATGCTCAGATCCAGCAAAGCATTCATTGAAGCAGATACTTATCTTAAAAAATGGAGAGCAACCCCATTAATATTCAGCACAGGAAGGTAAACTTTAAACAGGTGAGCATGTCAGTGATATTTACTGAATTAGGACAAAATTCAGAAAGGATTTTTTTCTTAACTCAGTAAAATCCCATTACACTTAAGGGAAATTTCCTATCTGAGGACTGATTAACTGAGTAAGACTGTCAGGTTCTGTCCCACAGCTATCAGTGGTGGCAACATTGTTCAAGTGTTTTGGGGAGATTGGACAAATAGTGATGTGATGAATACCTGATCTAGATCTTATTTGTATATAGATCTGGCAGGGTGTCTTATTTAGATTTGGATTAATTGCAGGGTGAAATAATGGTATTCCATGTGGAAAAATAAAATGCCAGTCATTGTGACCACCAGGTGAATTGGCAGCCATTTTAAATCTGACCTGGCATTGCTTGCCCTCTGCCCTACTCTCCTATTTACCTCCCACATTCCCAAGATACAGTGATTTTTTTTGTGTGGCACCATCCTACCACCCTTCTCTAGCCAAGGCTCCTTACATGCCCAAATTGCTTCACTCAGTTCCAGTGAATTATAACACTGGGATTCCAAGAAGCAATGATCTCTAAAAAAGTAGAATCATTACATCCTGTAGCAGATGTCTGCAAGTCCCCAGATGCATGCAGATCTTTACTCTCCTTTTGAGAGTCAAAGTCAAAGTCACAAAGTTGGTTTAAAAATATTGCCAGGTATTTCTTTTTTGTTTACGTGACATGAGTGAAAAATACAGGGATGATTCCTGTAAACGCAGTCAGCATCATGATTCACTGTCACCCCTTGCACAGAAATAAATCAGCATGAACCACAGGTCAATACACTGTCCCTGTACTGTATTGCAGCCTCTTGCCCTGTACTGAAACAAATCAATGTGATCTGCAGCATAATATATTTTCCTCCCCATAGAGACCTACAGTGTCCTGCCCATCAAGAAAGCTATATAATCATATCCCAGGAGGCAGCTTCTTCTGCAGGAGGCTATTGTAAACAGTAGCATCCCAACGGTCCCTTCTGTACTGCTCTACATTGCATATACCTCTTCAGCATGTCTTACATCTCTCTGCCTTTACCCCTCCAGGATTATTTGGTATAGAAGAATCCATTGGAACAATCATTGGGGTGGTGGCAGCTGGTATCGGAGGTTTGGTGGTTCTGATTATCATTTTAACTCCTCAGCTAAGAAAGTGTTTCCTGTGCATAGAACAAGGACCTCATCAAGGTAGGCAAGAGTGAGTGAATGTGCAGAACAAGTTTCCCATAAATGTAGGCAACATGTTATATGTACCTAAAGTATTCTTACAACTCTAGTAAATGTTAGACCCCAACCTGCCTCTGGTTGGGCAGGTGATTTGCTCATCTAAAGACTAAGAGGTCATGATGAAATCCAGTCCTTTCCTTTTTCATGGCCTTGTGTGACAAAGTATTTAAGCAATATTTACAGATTCAGTGGAATCTGACAGGGCCCATACCATGAGGCCATCTGCTATGGCCTTGAACTTACAACCTCTAGACTGTCAACCATGCACCCTAACACCCCCACCATCTGCTTTCTACAGCCCCTTGCCTACACTAAGTATAACTGAACATGTACATAGAAGCATATCATTCCCCTACCAGGCACACAGAGGGATTTTCCTGTAGCACATCCTTCTGAACAGCATATGTCAAAGATCCCCACCCTCCTTGTATTCTTTCCAACCCCATCCATTCTGAATAATTGTTCTTACCATCCTCAGTTAACACATCAAGAGAACATATTATTGCAGGGGCAGCCAAACTACCTAACCTTTCTAGCCACAAATGGAAATCCTGATGTAGCCAAGCGCCGCAAGATGCACAACTTTAGAAATGCACTGACCTCAGAATGGACAACCAGCATGCAATGTCCCACTTTCAGCAACCATGTGTTGTTAGATGCCTTCTTAGCATAAAGAATGAGCCGAAAACTGAAATTAGAAAATGAATGAACACAGAGAAAAAGATTTTACTTTTATTTCACTAGTATTCTTTCTTGAGGAGCTGCATTTAAACTGCCTGGGAACATGAACAGCATGTGCCCCTGGAGGTTGGAGGGGCACAGCTGTGCCAGTGGTGGTGGGAGCGCGGTGGCGGGAGCCCGGTGGTGGTGAGCAGGCAACTCCCACAGACACCACCAGCACTGTCAGTGATGGGGGGGATGGGGGTGGCAAGTGCCGACCATGGGATGGCGACCACCTGCAGGCACTGTCAGCAGCAGCCAGGGGCGATCATGGACCACCCGCAGACCATCCGCAGGCACTGCCAACAGTGTCGACGGCGCCTTTTTGTAGGGGGTGCACTGCCATGCTCAGGAGGTGCACGTGCACCGGCATGCACCCCCTACGCTTCGCCTTTGCCTGGGAGTCGCACATAGCTCATGATCTATGATTTGGTCACCACCATATTACTGTCTAAAGCAGTGCTTCTCAATGCTTTTTGAAAAGATTTTGAAAGGCACCTCAGGGTGCTGCAGCATCCTCATTTGGAATCACTGGTCGAAAGAAATGGAGGTCCACGTTTTCAAAAGACCTCAGGTCCCCTTTAGGCAACAAAAAAGATGGATTTTCCAAAGAGCCAAGCTGGCCTGAAACATTCATCATGGGAGTTGCCGGGAGCTGAACACTTTTGGAAATCTTTATATGTCTAATGAGGAATTAGCTCTTTGGGAATTCCAGGCCAAATTGTGGGGTTTGAGCCCCTGAAAACATGGCACCAACTCCAGGAAAATCTGGTCTACACATGAACAGGGTTATTAAGAGGCTGCCTTGCTTCCTCCAAAGTAGGACTGCCACCTAGTGGTAAGCGCTCATGCCCACACACCCTGCTCTTTAAAATTTCCATTTAGTAGGACAAGACACCTACTTGATCATCACTGAGGTGCATAAGGTTTCGGGTTGATTCCACAAATATCTCCCCTAGCAGCAGCTCCTTTTGGCTAAAAGTTTTCCCTTTCCAAACTATATGGCTACCCAGATTTCATTAAGATGTTTACCCATGAGACACCTATGAAAGTTTGGATGTGTAGATGACTTAGTTGTGTTGTGCTGTATCTGCATCACTCACTCATTCTCTCCTTTCCTCCTGGCACAGCATAGTTTGAACTGCATGGTTCCAGAAGACACCAGAAGATCCAGAGACTAAATCATTTCTTGCATGTAGTAACTTGCCACACTGTAAACCAAAATGAGGTCTCCATATTCTCTAATAAAAATGTTTGCTTCAGTACACGTACCTCCTTTCGGTATGTTTACCTACAAAGCAGCACGACCAACTTCCTCATATGGTACGAACCAAAACAGCCTTTCATAAAATGTTCATTTTATTACCAGATAAATCCTGGCTAGTTAGTCTACAGGTCTTGAAGGCTTGGGGTTTATTTCTCATGTGATGCATCAAATATCTTTCTTTGTCAGCATTTCATATTTTAAATGCAGCATTTTATATTGCTGGTGCCACACTTTCCTCCCAATGAAGACACCCCTGTGTTACCTGCCCAGGAGACGAGTGGCCTGGCATAGAATCATAGCATCCTAGAGCCGGGGGGCTGGCAGGGACCTAGCCCAAGCCCTGTGCAAACTATCCCAGACAAACCCCATGTCCAGAAACTATGCCATCACCCCTCACACAGCAGTAGACATCACCCCTGGCACATAAAGGGGGGGGGGCCTAGGCCAGCCAGTGTCCTGCCACTGCAAAGGTGGTGAATAGATGCTTGAGAGATCCCAGGCAGAGGCTGTGCACCACTGCAGAAGGCAGCTCACTCTGCACCAATCTAAGCAGGGGGTAAAATTCCTTCCTGCTCCCAGTGCAGTGTCGGTCTGACCCTAAGCAGATAGGCAAGACCCTTTAGCCAGGATGCTGCAGGGCTGGTGCCAGCAGGAGCATTGGCACAACCCAGTCCAAAACCTACCCCCAGCCTGGCTGCAACCAACACCCAGTGCCACTGGGAGGTACCCAGTGCCTCCAGCCTTACAGAACCTAACATGGTGCCTCTGTAAGGACCTGGGGGGAAGTGCTTGGTGTTGTATGGGGCTTGCAAGGCCTCCCCTCTTGCTCCAAGCCTGCCCCAACTCTAGGGGCAGCCTCAGCCTGATCTGTGTGTACCGTGGCTCCTCAGCACTCAGCATCTTGGCAGGGCTGGGCCTGGCAGCTGCTCCTTCCCCCTCCTGAGGTGATTCCCAGTCGTGCCAAGCCTGCCTCCCCATGTATTCACACGGGCAGAGCCACACTGCAGCACTGCACCTCCCTGCCCCTCCCTGCCCCTGCATGGGGGTGCCACCCTGCGCAGCCCGAGTCCCGATTCAGTTCCTTCAGGTTCAGTCTGTGCCCAGGGCCCACAAATGATCTGAATCAGATTTAGTGTGTTCAGATTCTTCCCAGGCCTTGACAGGTGACAAGGAGCAAATTTGAAGGAGCTGAGTCTGAATGAACTGAATCCGATTTGGATCCTTTCTTGATGTAGAACAAGGAGCAGATCTGAATCAGATTCAGGTCATTTGCATTCAGTTCTCATGGCACACCAGCTGAAAAGCACTGCCCTACAAAGCCATCTCTGGTCTATGCCAAGGGCTGGTTTCTTGCTCTCACACCCCCCAGCGGAAGCCTCCACTTAGCTTTGCTACCAATTTCCATCACCAGCAGCTATGGGAAGCAGCAAGAGTAAGTGGAGGCTGCAGTAATGGAGCAAGAGAGCACCCCTCAGCACAGGGTAGAGAAGGCTGAGATGGCCACTTGTCACTGTAGAGGGGGTGGGTGGTACATGGTAGAGAAATGCATGAAGCATGGCAGAGAAGGTGCCCCCACCACCAAATGCCACTGATCCCATGCTACCATATGCCGGATCCAATCTCTTCGCACGATGTATCTAGCCCATGGGATGTAGGTTGCTGACCTTTTGGGTGTTGATTTCACATACTGAGAGGACTTGAGCAGAAAACAAATGCATTTCAATATAAGCCTAAAAAAACACTGAAAAGACAGATAAAGTTTGCTATTGATTCCTTTAACATGAATAATGCTGGCCCCAGGCTAAACATTCCTCAAGTCAGTCTTGGATACACCAAAATCTCTACAGGCCAGCATTCCCTCAAACTGTGTGGTGTGCGCGGCTGCGCAGACGTGCCTGCCAGCACAGCATGAGCACACCTGCACAGCTGTGCATGCTGCGCAGCTTAGAGAGAACGCTGCTACAGGCATGAAGCAGGTGAGGCTTGAAACATGGCAATATGCTTTGGTGGGTCCAGCATTCTGCGCAGCCATTGGGAAAAGCCAAAAAAAGTTACTATCCCTAAAGTAGAAAATGGCAAATGTGACTCTCCTCTCACCTCTGAGGTTCTCCACTCTGTGGAAGTGGAAGATGCAGAAGAGATTATTGGCCACTACTTTCAAAGACAAAAGCCTTATAAATGATAATTTATTGGAGTGAACAGGACTTCTTCCAGAAGTGAAGTGAACTTTCCTATTCCATGAGAGGCAGGAGGTCCCTTCTCCTTCTCAGCAGTAACAGTTCCTTAAGACATAGCAGATGCAGACTCACCTCCCATCTCCAAGAAAGTAATGCATGTTGCACTTCCAGACTCGCCCATTTTGGGTCTTTGACAGATGGCATATCATCCCATGGGGAAGGAATTAAAACCAGTCATTCAGGGCTCCCATATATTTCCAAAGTGCATGTGTAGACAAAACGAGGGGCATGTGTACACAACACTTTAAAGTGGGTTAAATGCTCTTGCACCACTTTAATGGTGTTGGTGTTTGCACGAATCGGCGGTATATTGTGCAATTAATTCCAACCACTGTAGCACATTTGGCGGCATGGGCGACTGGTGCCACCTTAGTCAGTGGGAACACATGTCTCCCCAGGGACCAGTCACCAACTGGTGGGGGGGGCCGCAGCCGAGCACACTGACCAGGAAGTGGCCACAGTTCTCCTGGAAGTGGCCACAGTGCTTCATCTACGCTCCCACTCTCTGCCCAGCACTTGCAGGGGGGGCACCCCTGTGCTCCCCCTATGCGTCACCACTGTTTGGTGGTATAATGTGCCCTAAATGACTTTGGGGCACAGCAAACTAAAACACCTCTGAGGTGTTTTAGTTTGCTGCCCTACAGCTGCAGAGCGAAGTACCGGGCTCCATGCAGCTCAGGGGCTGTGCAGGCAGCCTGGCAGCAGCCCAGGAAGGCAGGCTCCACCAAAGGGGGAAAAAAAAAAAGGGGCAAGCCTGATCTTTTTTTTTTTTCCCCTGGAGCTTGCCTGTCTGCATACGCTGCACAGGGACCCAGTCCTTCCCTCAGTGGCTGTGATGCCCCCTGGGACTGCCCGATCCAGGTGCCTGCAGGTGGGTGTAAAAGAAAGAGAGAGCCAGAGATTATTGTTAAAGCTTCATATTTATAAACCACAATTTGGAATCTTCTGTTGAATGGGGATATGCCACAGTGGAGAAGACTTCAATTTTTGGCAAGCAAACAGTAGAAAGCAGAACTGTGATTGTGTCCTTAATTTGAAAGTCTGGGGAGATGCATAACCAAACCTGTTTCCCAACAAACCTCCTCACCACCCCAATCCCCTCCCATGGTGACAGGAATTCCTTCACATCATCATCAGTTTTGACAAAAAATTAACAATTTTAATGACAGTGTCTCCAAATTCAAAGAATTAGAGTGGAGGAAAAGAAATTCCTAAGAAGAGTCATATACCTCCTTTCATATAGGACTAAAATGACATGTGGGATGGTTTTGCCCACATAAAAAATCTGGCCAGAGGATCAAGTTTGGGTTATAGGAGGCTGCACCCCAACAGTTGGCTGCTTCTTGGTCACATTGGCACACCATTTTTTCACACCTGTCTGTCAGCTTATCTGAAAAAAGAAAATGAAAATGGAGGGCAACTGGTTAAAATTGTGCTGAGACCATCAGAAAGTGATACCTAGCTGACAATGGGCTGCGTTCAGGAATCAGTAGGGAATGATCATTGAATGGGCTAGGGAGAGGCAAATAACAGATTTTTGCCTCAGTGACCAAATCAAATAATCATTATATTTGACCTGCAATTAATGTTTTGCTTAGTTTTTGGGTTACTTTACCCTTTTATTTTATGCTTTTCAAAAAGGAATCCCTTCTCCTCCCCCAAAAACCATTATTTTAGAGCAGAAAGCTGATATGTTTTCTTTTGAACACACTGAAATAAAATCTTTCTGATTTTTTCAAAATTTTAACACCCACATTTTGACTGTTACAGTTTGCCATTTTTAATCAGTAAATTAAACAATCTACTGTAAACAATCTGACAATTCAAAGCCATCCTTAATTCTGACTGCCTTGGCTTTTCAAAAAAATCCCCCAAAGCACCCAACTTATGAAAATTTGCATCATAGTCTTTTTTTTTAAACTAGAATTGTACTTACCCAGAAGCTACCTAGATTATACTTTGCTTCTATTCTGAAAAGTGACTCAGTGAAAATCATGTCACAAGTTCCATTTTCACTCTCTCTCAATGATTTCAGTATCACATGCACGCCATTTATAAGTAAAAGGTGTTTTCTTTCCCCCCAGCCTTGCAAATTCAAGTTGTCATGTGAGGATCACATTGGGTTCTATCCTCTCACACTGTATAACTTTTAATAAAAAGTCTGCAAGCCAAATGAGACTTCCCATGACTCCTGTTGATGTGATTGCAGAAGTGTAAGTCATTGGAACTTCAACAGTTTTGCTGGTGGTATCCAAGGATGAGTGAAATGTGCCAATCTCTTCCAGAGCTTTGCAAGGTGCAGAATAAAGCCCTGTGAAGAATTAGAGTCAGATCTTATTCCACTTATTGGACATTTATGTGGACTTAGGCACTTAAATGTCCTGTTTTTCCAATGACCACTGAATACTGGGTATTTTTTTCCCTTGACTTCAATGGGCTCTGAATTAGACCCACAAGAAGCACACCCAGGGTGGGTTCATAAGATGCTATTTTATGTAATAAAGACATTGGAATTGTGCATTGAGTGGTGAAATATTAAATATTGCCTTGTTGTGGACTCTTTGCACAGGGCTGAATTCCACTCTCATAAACAGCAAAAAAGAGATATTGAAATTAGGTGATTTTTTTCTTTAGTCACCTTTTCTGCTTTTGTCTCTGCCTTGATTCCTCCTTGCCTCCACTCCTTATGTTGTCCCAATATCATACCCAGTGCCATGAGTCTAATGTAATTAGAACCATTTGGTTTGGCATTTATTCCAAG